TGCCTCTGTTTCTGCAGCCATGAAATTGGGAGACTAAGAGTAACTGCTGGGCAGGGTTATAGTGAGGATTAGATGAGTCAGTGTATAAAAAAAATTTAGAAATGACTAGGCGTTGTCGGTTCTTATTATGATTACAAAAACTCCAATCAATGTTTGTCCTTATCTTATCTGACCTCTCTAAGAGATAGGATACAAGGGAAGACTCCCACTTTCCTGAAAAATCTCCTTTTGCCACAGCCCTCTTGAGTTTCACCTTTCTGACTCTGATTTATCAGGAGTTTGTGTGGGATCTTTTTTCCCCCCCATTTGTCCATTAAGTGAGGGTGTTTCCCTATGCCTTCCTCAAGGTGTACTCTCTCTCTGGAATGACCTTATCTAAATCCTTGGCTACAGCTACGTCCCTAATGCCTGGCCCTCTGCTGAGCTCTAGGCCTGCATGTCTAGCTTTGGAGAAGTCCATGAGCACCTCAACCCAACAGGCTCAACTCTAAATCCTTCACTACATAGCTAATTGCGTGTCTTGCTGAAGGAATGCACATTGCACCAGAAATTGGGGCACTGTCCTAGAGCCTCTCTTCCCAATCACCTTCCCCAGTGCTGTTAACGATCAAGGCCTCCATGACATCTGTCCTATTCATCCCCTCTAACCATTCTCACCTCCATGAACTTAATTCTGTTCACATTCTCCCATGAATCACTACATTAGGTTTCTTACTATTTTATTCCTGCCTCAAATTTTGACCCCTTTAATTCATACTTCACTGAGTTTCTCCACTATCTTTCCAAAATGTAAATCTTATCACATTTGGCCCCAGTGCAAAGTCCCCTCGTGACTCTTCCTAGGTCAGGAGGTGAAGTTCAAGTTTCTTGGCATGAATGATTTTTGTTTATCTCTGTGTCTCAACTCTTCCCAACCCCAACAGGCCCTGTTTCCCGGTGTCACGTTGCTGTGGTTCCTCCTAGTCCTCAGGCTTTTCATGCCTCCTGCCCTTTGCACATGTTCTTCTTATCCTTGAACATTCTCCTCCTGGCTTTGCCTTCCTCTCCTGATCCCTCAGACTCTGCCAGCTCTTTGGGGAGCCTTATGAAGTCACTGTACAATCATTTAGGTGCTCCTCTGTGTTCAAACATTGCCCTGTGCATGGAGCTCTCTTAGAGCGTGTTCAACAATGCAATCTTTGACCCTCGCCTCCCTGCCCCGCACCGTGTCTTTTTTTCTCTGCAAACCCCATGAGGGCAGCATTTGTATTTTGTTTAACTTTGTATTCCCTGCACCTATTGTAGCACAACTGGCACATAGATGTTCAATAAGTACTGAATGAAAGCTTGAACCGAGAGCATGCATCACCTTCCTCCAACCTCCTGAACTGAGAGGTGGTTATTGTTAGTGTAGAATCTATTCCCTTCTACCAGTTAATGGACAGAACAGTTTCAAATGGTTACTGGAAAAACAAGGACTATTAAGTAGCCGATTTGAAAAGGATTACATCTTTGGTATAGTGCTTTCACCTCTAGGAATCTATCCTAAATAAATAATCAGAGGAAGGAACATTTTATTCACCAAGATGTTTACCACCAAGTAATTTATGTAGGAAAAAAAACTGGAAAAAATAGAGAAATGATTAAACATCCAGAATTATGGTACATACAATTGGTCATTATACTGCCATGATACATTATGTTTTCCAAGTAATTTTTAATGGTTTGGGACAATGCTTATGTTATGCTTAATAAAAAAGCTGGACAGAAAACTAGCAAATGTTATAGAATCTTAAATTATATAAATAAAAACTCCTTAGACTAAGCAGGAAAAAGATTTGAAAGAAACATGCCCAAATAAATTCTTCAGTGATGATATTTTGGGTGATTTTGTTTTGTTTCATTCTTTATCATTTCTGGTATTTCCTAAATTTTCTACAATAAGCATTTTATTTTTACAGTCAGAAATATAAAAATGCTTTAAGTTAGAGATTTGGGCTGTGTGAGACTACAGTGAACATCTTTTGTTCTCTCTGTGTAGCATCATTCCTCCTTCTTCTGGTGAGAACACCTCAACTTTGGGAGACACATCCCTTCCCATTAAGAATAGCCTCATGATGCAGACCCCAATCCAGGCTCCAGGGGTGGGTATGTGACCCAGACTTGGCCAATTATCATATTCCATGTGGCTTCAGTAACTAGTCCCAGATGGGCATGTGACTTAAGCCAAGTCAGTATTTTTATAGGAGATGTTCATGAGGGCAGAAAAACTTTGCTTACATTGGTACTAATGAGCTATAAGCCTAAAGCTGCTTGAATATACGCAAGTACAGAGAAGCAATAAAGGAAAGTACAGAGATGGAGGAAATACATGTGTGTATAGACACACACGCACCCTCTTCAAGGCCTGATGACTTTGAGTTCTTGAATCGAAGAAAGTCTGGAATACTGTTATCCAGTTACAAGAGCCAATACATTTTAGGTTTCTTGTTTGTTTGGTTAAGTCCGTTTGAGCTGGGTTTCTACAAGTTGCAATCAAGAATTAACTAATAATAATAATAATGATAATAAATAAAAAATATAATAATTCATGAAAGGGTCCAGGGCTATCACTGGACTGGAGGCTCTCTGCTGTGCCTGGCATTAAACTTTAATGGATCTGAGGAGATTTGGGGTATCTCAAGAAAGGGGTTGGAGGAGGCACTTAGGTATTTAGGGGAGTGGCATTTTTCCAATCAGTACACAAGGATTTTAATATTCTACCAACCTATATGGCTAACTTGTACTGGCTGCACCTGAGTGCTGTTAGCAGTTGTCATAGTTTTTTATTTGGGTATCTGCCCCCGCCCCATGGACTGTGAATCCCCCTAGGCAGGGACTTTGTCTTGTGATTGTTGTAGGTCTTGTGCCTACTTAGGTGCTCAATAGATGTTTGTTGAATGGTGAATATGAAAGACAGTCCAGCATTGTATAATTCCCTATTCTGGTATTTTTTCTGACAGTTTCCTGCCTGGAATTAAATTGCAATATGGTCTCTTTTCACCCACTTTCCTGAAAAGACTTGTTATCCTCTCCAATATCAGTTGATTGAAGAAGAAAATTGTAAATTTTCTCTCTCAGGCATATTGTTGATATTTTAACTCATAGTGATTTTTTTCTAACTACAAAATGGATTTTAGAAATAAATCAAGATCCCAGAAACTTATTATTGCTTTGAGTAGTAGCTTTTATCTTTGTCATCCTAAAAGATATGGTCCAATGGCCCAGAACACAGAGAATTTTGAATTTCAGTTCTCCCACAGCTATATGACTTGAACCATTTGCTAGGACACTGGGGCGTGGGTTCCCACACTTGACTGTAAAGATGGTGGTAGGGCCCACATCTATTAACAATGGTACTTCCAGTGCCTAGTGGCTCCTTGTTCACAGTAGAAACGAAAATGATTATTGAATAAATTAATGAGGTTAAGTAGAAGCAATCATACATATTGATGTATGAGTGATAATTTTTAAGCAGTTAGCTTTAAAAATCATTGTTCTTAAACCAACTTAGGTCTTTTCAATATCAAACAGGAGAGTTTTCAATATTAAAGTGGGGGTGCTGGTTAGTTATAATTTTGTACGCTGTTTTATGGAAGAGTCTAGGTGTATCTAAATTATTCAATTACTTTTTCTGAGGCACCTCCCATTTATTTTCTATTCTTAAGCTCTCTGGAGGGGTGTTTTACTTGTTTATTAGGATGAACTGGGAAAGCTCATCACACCTGAAGTCAGTCTTAAAATTACTAGGTCTCCTCTCTATTAGCTGTGTGATCTTGGGCCATTTTTGGAACTAAAATAATAAACGTATATGCTCTACTTATTTCACAAAGCTGTTATTATGAGCATGAAATAATACTCAGTGTAAGAAGGAACTATAAAACCCTATACAGATACTGTTATCACCTTGGGTAAAACACTTTCTTGACAGTGGAATCTGGCTTAAGAGAATCATTTTACTATCATTTTGCTCCTGGTGCTGGCTAAGGCAGCTAAGAGGAACCCTGAGATCCCCACCCCTCTAACAGTCGTCTCTAACAGAGAGGCAGAGAAATTACCTGGAAGAAGGGGGTGGGGTGGGGAGAGAGAGAGAGAGAGAGAGAGAGAGAGAGAGAGAGAGAGAGAGAGAGAGAATGAATAATAAAAAGCCACATAGAGGACTTAGCAATGCCTTTGGCGCAAATGGGTTTAAAAACTCAGGCTCCCAGAGCAAACTTCACAAGACACCCTTCCCTACTCTGCAAAGTCTCCGCAGAGGTTTGTGGGCGGAGGCCACTCAGACCAATAGAAACCAACTGTGCTCCCACAGGTTAAGGAGCAGGTGGAGAAACTGAGCATAAAGAATTACCTCCGCTCCGCTCAGCCTTTTACCGTGGTGCCAGGTGTCACTCTTGATCCCCTTCGACTCATAGGAATGGTGCAGAATATCGGGGCCCAATTTCAATTCCCCTGAACCCAATCCTGTCCCCGCACCATCTCCACCAGCAGCAGCATACAACCTCCTCCCCCGGGAGCATGCTCGGGGACTGGGCGGACGACCTGTATTGTCTGGGGAGCACCTGCCAGGTGGCGGGCCGTGTCCTAATGTGAGCTCGCTGCCCAGCTTCACAAAGCGAGCGGGCAGCACCACCCTCGTCCGGGAACCGCCTCTGGCGGCCCGACTACATCAACAGGGGAGGGGTGGCGGAGAGAAGGGACTACGGGGTCGGCAGCGGGCGGCAAATGCCGGCGTGCCCTCCTCCACCGCGCGGGCTCAGCCCCCAGGGGTTAAACAGGTCGAAAGAGCAGGGCCCAGACGCCGACCCGAGGGAGCGCGATCCAGGCGGGAGGGAGGGGCGTTGGAAGGGCAGGCGAGGAGGGGCGCCGAGAAGGGGCGTGGCCGGCGCGCAGAGGGAGGGCGCTGGGAGGAGGGGCAGCTCCTCGCGCTGGCGGCTCTGGGGGCTCGGCTTTGCCGCGCTCGGTGCACTTGGGCGAGAGCTGGAACGTGGGACGGATCTCTGATCCTAGCGCAGCCACCGCGATGAGAGGCGCTCGCGGCGCCTGGGATTTTCTCTGCGTCCTGCTCCTCCTGTTCGGCCTCCAGACAGGTGGGAGAGCGCGGCGGCACGGGGCCGCGCCCCCCTTCTTTGCCTGTGCCCCGTGGGCTCCAACTCGCTAGGGTTTTTCGGGGGAGGTGGCTGCCGGCCCCCGGTGCCCGTGCGTTTGAGCCTCAGGAAAGATTCGAGGCGTCCCTGGAACTCTCCTGCGTCCAGCCTCGCTCACCTGCGCGAGGAACCCCGGCCACTGGGAGTGGGGGTGCTACACTGGGGTCTCCCGGGAATGAGGGCAGCAGGGGGCTAGGGCGTGAGCAAGGTGCAGACTGAGGGCGCGGGTTGCGTACTAGTTTGGGGTTGCTTTGTGCTGAGGGTGCGCGGGGGCAGAGGCAGGCGGGTCGGGGTTCGCACCCAGTGCGTTATCCCCGCCGTGCGCGGCGCGCCGCTGCTTCCTTTTGTTAAAAGTTGAGCGTGTGTGACCGGAGCCCGGGAGCACCGGCCCGCAGGTTCTCACCGCGCCAGGGGCAAAGTTGGAGGGCCTTTTCTTTGCTCTGCGGCTGCTGCTTTCCAACCGCGGGCGTTCTTTGTGCCCCGAGCTGGGGACCAACCCGCTGCCGTCTCCGCACGCGGCGTCACCCTTGAACACGAGTCCGAGGCTGCGGTGTCGCCCGGACACCCTGGTTATGCTTTGGCGAGGGGAGCGCGCGGCGTGCGGCTGCGGGGCCGGACACCGCGGACCTGGAGGTGGCAGCGACAGGGACAACTTGGGCTGGGTGTGTGGAAAGCAGCCGCTAGGTTGCAGACTTTTTGCTTTTGTAAACCCCGTGCCGGAGGCTCGCCCCTTTCCACTGCGGTGCTGCTGGCTTTTTTCCTGCCACGCGCCTCGGAGCGGCTGGAGGCTGCGTTGGCCGCCTCCTCTCAGGGGAGGCAGGGACAGAGCGCTGGGGCACGGAGGTCCCCGACCCCGGCTGCCTTCCGCGCCCAGCGCTACTCTGCAAGCCCCTGGAATCGGTGTCTGCGACCTCTAATCGTAGGTCCGTTTTGTTTGGAAATTTTGAGATTTGCAACACCCCCTCGCATGTATATCTATACTTAAGGGCCCCTTGAGGGGGGGAGGGGAAATGGAGTGGGACTTTCTGCAAATGTTACTAGGATCTTAAATCTGATGTGAAAATCTGATTATATCTGCTCGGAAACTTGGGTGTTAAGGTGGAGGAGGAGGCGGAGAGGAGGATTTGCAGGGTCCTGGAAGCCCTCAGGCAGATTCCTGCCCCTTCTTCTTTTTTTCTGGGTGTCAGCCCAGTTCTCTCCCAGGTCTTATTTTTTTTCTTTAAATCTTTAAGGCTACTCTGATGATGTAAGGGTAGAAAGTGAGTCGGAACTGGAATGCAAGGGCTCCAAAGGGAGCCTCGCTATGAACTATTGTGGGACTCCATGGACTGCTGCTCAGTCTCCCCATAAAGTGTGAAGATGCAGCCTCCTGCTTCTCGGTCTCGCAAGGCATTGTGAGGGCTTTCCTGTCGGGGAAGAGAGGCCTTGCCTCTGGACCCTTGTGAGGTAGCAGGGATCCTGAGTTGAGTGCTCAGATTCCCTGACGGATCTGGCCACCTACACTTCAAATGACACATTTGGTTCTTACATCTTTGTGCCTTAGCATTTTAAATTTCAGTTAAGATACATGAATTGAGCCCCAGTAGGGCACGAGAAAGACAAACCACACAGAACAGTTCCCTTTTTAAAAAATGAAATTAATTAATTGCTTCCTTCTTCCTCATAATTAACCTCCATCCAATAGATTTTGGCAAAGGGGATTTTCAGGTCTGGCTTGTGGAGGGGGGCAGTATGGTGTAGTGACAAAGCCTTTTGCTGCCCTCTGGTTTTTCTCTTCTAAGCGACTTATTGGCTCTGTGCCCTTGGGCAGGTTGCTTCCATTCTGGGAGCCCAGTTTCCTCCAGAGGACAGTGAGGCATCCACATCCTGAAGGATCCTTTGGGTCTGAAGTTCTCCTGTTCCAGTGTTCTGAGTGTAGACGCGACACCTTTTCTGACCTTTCCCCCTGATTCCTTTCTGCCTCCTTGAAATTCCTCTGCCTCTCCTGGCTACAGAGATCATTTGGTGGCATCCTACTAGCCTACCCCTGGCTAAAGCAGGGAGATGTGGTTATGCTGCTCTCTCCTCACTCCACAAGTGCTCACCTACTGTTTCACTTTGAAGGCTAGGAGATGCCATCTCTGTAGGACCCTTCATCCTCTTCCCTCCCCCAAGTATTTACAACTCTTGTGCCCAGCAGGATGAACCTGCAAGGAGCAGTGAATCATACCTTCCCCGCGTTCCTGCAGGTGTGAGGCTAGAGTCATCCCCAGCAGCTGTACACACTCTGGATGATTATCCAGCTGGAAATCATGTGATGGTCTTATAAAGGGATCCAAATAAGTCATTTATCCCCATTCTGGTCTTTCCCAGTCATCCACACATTTATTCTTATGATTTATAAATCACCTATGCTGTGCCATTAGTACACATTTTCTGTGGTGCCTGAAATTTCACATTATCTGTATCATACATAGTTGTTGATATTCATTTGGAAACTCTGTGCCCAGCCCTGTGCTGGGGCCTTTACCTAACATTTCCAGTCCTCTCAACAAGCCCAAGAAGCATTACTCTCACCATCCCGACCATTTTACAGCTGGAGGAACTGAGGATAAGTCAGTTCCCAAAATAATCAGCAGTGGAGCCTGAGGTTAGTCCCTCAGAAATGAAGATAAGCTGTTGCTAAAATGACGGTCAGTTGAAAATTTTTCCATCCTCCACTCCAAAAAAATTAAAAAAGTGGTCTTAGCTTTATAAACTTGTGGCATCCTTGTGAAAGAGAAAACCCTCAGTAATGGGTAATATCATTGTGCCACGTACCCTGAATGAGCACAATGAGATATTTAAGGGCAGGTTACCACTCATAGATTTTATTCTCAAGCAAACTCTGTTGAGGAAGTGCCAAGTATTTTGTGGCTTCCCTTGGAGCACGTTTATGTACAGATGTTGTGGTGATGGATTTTGCTGCTGTTGTTGACAGCCTCTAGAAGTTGCTCTTAGGATTTTGACTCATTTCCTCAAGTCTTCTCCCCCCCACCCCCCAAAGGACACCAGGAAATGAGCTGCAGTTGTCCTAGGTGGAATTCTTGAAGCTGGACTGCAGTGTAGGGACTCCTCAAAGGCAGTGAATTTTCTCCAGAATGGATTTAGTTTTAACAATCATAAGCTAGGACGTGGGAAGTGCTTTATTTTGTTGTATTCATATGTGGTAACTTTTACAAAAAGGGATTGAAAGGCATTTGAAGGAATCTTAAATATGCAAAATTTCATGTGCAGTTTCTGTTACTTGGATATTGTTTTTCCATGGCTGCAAATCCAGAGTGGGGAGGGGCCTACGAGGGAGTTACCACCGGTAAAAGTTTGAATGAAGGGTAAATCTTTGTTGAAAGAAGAGGGGACTTTTGAGGAAGCCTGGTTCAGCCCCACTGATTTCTGACATTTTGGACATGAGACAGCTCACCTTTTGACTTTAGACTCTTAATAAATAAAGAGAAGTTGCATGCTGATAGCCCATGGACATGTTTTATGTGGCTCACATGATGCTTTTTTTTAGAAAACATTGAGGCAATATTAAAAAATAATGGAGAATTTACATCCAGATCTCTGAAGAATTGAAAACTGCCTCTCTAGATGGGACCTGTGTTCTTCGGGATGCTCTAAATTTGAGTCTAGGCAATACCGCTCTCTACTGCCAGCCCCCTTAAGCTGGAAGGCGCTGAGCTTGGATGTTGGTAAGCCCAGGTGGTACCACACACATCCTTAGTAGAAGGAGCACAGGTCTATGGAGTGAGACCACCTTGAATTAGTCTGCTGGCTCCACATCTGACAGCTTTGTAGCCTTGGAACAAGTTGCTTAACCTTGCTGAGCACTTTTTCATCCTAGTTTTAGCTGTGTGACTTTGAAAAAGCTACTTAACCTCTCTGTGTCAGAAATGTGTTGCTACTTATAAAGTTCGAGAAGCTCAATACATATCTGCCATAATTATTTGTAAAATAGGAATTATTATTTTCCATAGAATGGGTTTAAAGCCTCCACTAATATGATTGCCCTAAAAATTAGAAAGAGATTCTTGTAAAGATGCTTGGTACAGGGTCTGTGATAGGATAGGCACCTAACACATCCATAAATTCAGCAAGTATGTAGAATTTGACTGTTTCTCTTTATAATTCTTGTACACAGGCACCAGTAAGTACTAACTTGACAGCTTTTAAAATGGAACACACTTTAACTTTTGTCTTGAGTTTTACAGAGTGACATAACAGTTGGGAATCACTAGTTTTAGAGATTGAACAGATCTTGGGGTGGGGTGGGGTGGGGTGGGGTGAACCAGAAGATTTCGCCAGTGAAAACATTTATACTGGATAATTTTTCCATTCATCTTATGTGTTAGTCTTTATGCTTACATTTTGGTTATGACACACTTTTGTTAGACCTCTTCCAATGCATACCTTTCTGACAGCTACATTTTCTTCAACACTTTTGCAAATTTTAACATTAATGTTTAGGGCCTGTGGCACTAGAGTTAACAGTTTGGGCTCTGAAATTGACAACCTGCAATTTTATTCAGTTCCACCACTTACCAGTTGTGTGGTCTGCTTAAGACCCTTCACCTCTCCTTAAGCTTCATTTCCTCATCTGTAAAATGGGCATAGTGGCATAGGGCTACTGAAAGGAGTAAATGAGTTCTGCACGTAGTGAGCTTAGCACAGTGTCCCTCACAAGGGCATCAGGGTACTCCACTATTAGGCTGATTTTATGTTCCTCTTTCAGACTTATCTCTTATTAAAAAAGTGGAAATGGTTTAAAATCAGATTATCTAGAAGTATGTTTTGGTATTAAGATGAAGTATGTACATTTAGTATATAGTTTCTGTTTTGTTTTTTAAAGCCGATAGTTAGTAGTAATGCATACTTCTCTTTCTGGCTTTTTATTTAACCTTATTTAACTTGCTTTTCATCAAAGG